CTTGTATATGAAAAGCCCTGTCATTTTTTCACAGCCGAAAGTCTCGCCGTAAGTAAACATTACATACAGAATCTTAGCCTTGAATATTCCACTTTTCCAACACACCCCACGAAACCAACCAATATGGGAAAAGGTTACAATTTTACCCATGCAATATATGAAAAGGTATACATTTTTAAGATCTAAATTATATGAATAGGGTGGGGTAACAGAACCCCAGCGACACCCCCTATCAATTAAGTATTGAAGTGCCCCTCCACCCCCCCCCCCCCCCCCCCCCCCCCCGGGAGGTATTTTACTGCTACAAGATATTTGATTTGCTAATCACGCACCCGTAAATGAGCAGAGAACCATACTTTCAAGCCAGGGGCAGTTTATACTAACAGTTAGTATAGAAAGTCCCTGTAAAAAGGCAGGCAAATCCTAACAGTACTGTAACTTAATGATACATGTATATCAAGTTACAGCACCTCACCCAGCACAGTTAGCACACTGGTGTGTGTCAGTCTTATAATATAAAACTGCGTAGGTTCATATCGTTTGATTCAACGTTTTTTCGGATATTTTTTAGGGCCGTTGTCAACTTGACATTGTCAAATCCGACCTGCCACTTTGCAACCTGACCTGCAAAAACATAATTCGACTAAAAACAATGTCAGTCAAAATTGCTTTTTGAGACTGGGCGACTGAAAAGTTTTAAAATGTGACCTTGTGACCCTATGACCCTACTTGGAATTCTTCATTCATCGGCGTGTGTCGGTTTGGCTAAAAAGGGGGCATTGTTTTTTTTTCTTGGGACAAAAAATTGTTTCTATCTTTATTAAAAAAAAAAAATTAAGACCAATCATAAACTTTTTTTTCAAAACTCAGTGTCGTATTTTATTGTTTTCCCAACAATTTTTAATAAAAGCTTTAAATGTTTGTTTCACTTCCCTCTGACTTCCCTCCTGATTTTTTTTTCTCAAGAAATTATAGAATCAGTAAATGGATATATATATATGTTTGTGGTCACCGTCATGCAGTTAGATAAGAAATTCCAGCAACCATCATCAAATAATTCATGTGTATTTGTGACATCAACATAACTGAAACATTATATTATTTCCCAGTAATTATGTAAATCATTTTGATTTACAATTATATATGTCTGGGACTTATGCATGTATATATCTCACAGGCACTTGTCTCAGAAAAAAAAATCCTATATACTTTAATAAAAGTATATAGGAAAAAAGTCTGAGACAAGTGCCTGTGATATATCTGTCAGTCCCAGAATAATAAATATAATTGTATCTTAATCTTTGGAAAAATCCGATTATTAAATTGTTAAATTCTTTTACGTCATAATTATATCAAAGTATACTTTTTAAAGTTTTAAATTTTAAAGTTAAAATGAATATTCCGTTTTGATCTGAGGAAAAACTTTTTAAACTGTAATGACATGGTCAGTCAACTGATTTGTTGAATGGCTGATTACAGGTAATTAAAGCATGCAGTAATTTTCCATTACGACAGTGCGTGTACCCTGGGGTGTGTATAACCTATTAATATCATAGTTTTCTAGAGAACATCCTGTCTATGTGTAATACAGATTGACATATGATGACATTACACAAATTTTTTTTCGTTAAATGTAGTTAAGTATCTGTGTCCATTCCCTATTGCAACACTACAATTCTTTCGAAGAAAAAAATGTTAAAATTAAAAAAAAAATCATTTTATATAAAATAAAGAAGAAAAAAGTAGCAAATAAACTTATGTAACTACGCATTGAGTAAACATAATTTCACTTTACATGTACAAACCCTTGAGAAAACGTATATATAGATGTGTTTAAAAAGGCCAATTCCCAGTGGATTTATTTCACACTAGGACCACAGGCACTTGTCTCAGAATTTTGTTTCCTATATACCTTAATACAGGGACTTTCTATACAAACTTAGTATAGAAAGTCCCTGCTTAATATAACATTAAAAGTATATAGGAGATTTTTTTTCTGAGACAAGTGCCTGTGACTAGGAACTAAGATAACTAGAACTATGTTCATTGGAAAGGCTTTTTGTCTGATACATGTATACGTATAGATAATGTACATAATTAAGAACAGCTCCAAATATATGCCTATAAATTAACGGTACGTCTAAAAACCGCTCAGGACCTCCTGAGTGCAGACAGGACATAAAAAGTCACTCAGGACATGTATATATGTTATAGTGAGCGTTGAGGGTAATTTAATACTTGATCTTATAATTTTGGTTTTGATAAAATCAAACCATGGAAGTAATATTGAATTTAAATATTACTTCCATGATCAAACCAACATTAAAGAAGTTATTTGGGATACGTCATGCATGGCCGATGATCATATTCAATACCAATCATCATTTTGATTACGACGTTTGATCTTTAATAATTAGGACTGATTGGTGATGGTTATAAACACATACATGTAAACTTTGCAAACAAACAAACAAAAAACGTTTCCTTGGAAAAATTATAAAAATACATGAATTTTGTTTTTACAAAAAAAGTTAAATAAATTTTTCGTTTTGTATGTAATAATTGAAGCCATTTAGAAATATAAGAAATCTTCACATAGTCGGGAAATTTTCAATTCAAGTTATTTCATGTGAAAACGTTAACAAATATAGATCTTATTCGATGTAAAATGTGGCGTCCTTGGAGATCATAACCCCGTTTAAATAGGGTTTGTCTACTTTCGTCTATTGCCGAACATTCTATAATCAAGGATTTTTACAAATCCTTGCTATAATATAATGAATCGCGTCGCCAATATCACCACAATTACATAAAGTACAAATACAATCTTCTCCTAAATATTTGGCATCTAACAATTACAATAGGAAATTTTGAGTCGAAACTGAAGTACCAAACCTACAAAAAGAATCACTATTTTTTGTAGTAGTAGGCGTTGAAAACTAAACTGTTTATAATCTTTTTTTTCTCCTAAATTAATTGAAACTCCTGAAATAATTTAACATTATCTATAGACAGCTTACATATGCAAATCTTTTTAGAAGTATGTGAGTGTATAGTAATAATTTGTTCATTAACCCCCCTTTTTCCTTCTATAAAATTACATTGTAATCGATTTTATTTCCAAATTTGTGTTTGCTAGGATTGACACTTAGAACGTACAACAAAAAGTAACAAGTAAAAAGTCACGATTCAGTTTTGGGATATTTTTTTCTTTGAATAAACTTAATTTTAAAAACGTTTCAGTATTTTCTGAAACATTTTTAAAAGTAAACGGACTTGTAAACAAAATTTATTTTTGAATATTAATATGAACAATGATTGTTAAGAAAACAATCTGCCAAAGTGGTTTGGTAATTAACTGAAGTCATGCTGTCAAAAATATCTCCTTTTTATAAGTTATTGATAAAAAAAACTATTTGAAGGCGAATTAATCATTTCCTCAACTAAATACATTTATCTATAAATAAAATCAATTCGTCAAGAACTTTCTCTCATATATTTAAACAATTGTAAAATAATTAATTTAAACCTTTGTCCTGCGACTTTCTGTCCGTTTACCAATACTTATTCCTTGTTAAGTTTTTTCATATCCATTTACGAATACTTATAACGTGATAATTAATTTTTCCGGATGCTTTTTATCCTATTTTCATTTAAAACAACCATGTTACCCGTAGAACGATGTAAAGTACAAATTTAGGAATTTAGTACTTAAAATTTCAACAACAAAATTTTACACTTTCATTTACCTGGATTTTTTTCTACACTTCGAAGCCGCCACCCTGTATCAAACTTATCCAACACCTCGCATGGCGTATTCACGATGTGGAGGGATTGACAATATACAATCAAAGTTAGCAATATACAGCAAGTAAGTAATTGGATGTTGAATGCCAGTAGATCTGAATTTGTAAATTTTTAAATTGAATTTAACCTGTTTAGAACGTGTATTGTTGAATTGTTCAATAAAATTACACACATAATCTGGGCTGATATGCATAAAACCACTTTAAGTTCAAGGTATCAATAAAACTGGGTCTGCATGAAAAAATGACTTATCACATAATACCAGAACCTATGTTTAGCCTACTGTTACACGATAAAAAAATATAGCCGTAGGCCTAGTTGAAAATCTTTACAAATTATTTATTCTTTTAATTTCTGTTTGGCTGTCTGGGTGCTTCTTATGTGTTTTAAATGCTATAGTCAAGTTTTATAGACTGTTGTACGTCATTTGGTCGTTTTTAAGTTTTTGCCATGGCGTTTGTCAGTATGTCTTCGACTTATAAGTTTTAACAAGGATTTGTATAGTGAGATTGGTTTTATATAATCTGCATCTCTTGTGCTGTATTTTAAAATGTATTACAATTGCTGCATCTTTACACATTCATCAATACACCAAAACATATGAATAAAGCTTTCGTATATATACAAATAAGGAGATGTGGTACGATTGGTAATGAAACAACTATCCGCCAGTTCAATTCAAAAACCTGTTATAAGCAAATGTGACTTACTTACTTACTTTAGTCAGAGAGATCTTGAATCTGAATTCAAGGATACGAAGTGGGAAGGGTTTAGAGGTGGATTAAGGTGAGGGCATGGGGCCCGCCCCTTTTTTGGAAAAAAAAATGGTTGATTATTTAGAGAATCACTGAAGCGGGCCCCCTCTTTATGCATGACAGTTAGTGCCTCCTTATGACATTTGTTGGGTCCGCAACTGGTGAGGACCTCATAAAAAAATATTTAGTAAGTTTTTGTTTTGTGATAAATAATGTATTTAGACAGAAATAGGATAAAATAAACTACCGAAAGCTTAAGTCTACATAACAGGGTATGGATGGGGGTTAACAGAATAGAGAATAACGGGCAAACAATAAAGATTAAAGAATAATGAAATGCTAAAATATGAGGAAAGAGAGTAATGAGCAAAAAGTGTAAGTTTGTAGAAATATAGCAAAAAAAAAATAAAGAACACAGTAAAAGAAGACCCCCCCCCCCCCCCCCCCCCAAGATCCTGACTTCAACTTTAACGCTGCCGGGCTATTTTTTAGACAAAGTGCACGTATTAGTAGTCAGCCGAAACCACTAAGCGTTTTGCATCCATACGTTTTTTTTCGGGATACTGCATGACTGCATAGTAAACTATCAATGTACTAGTTAATGTTCTCGAGGGCTGACCCTATTACAGAGACATATATACACATATGTGTAAATATGTCTCTGCCCTATTACGTGTCGGTAACCTCCTCGACACGGTTCATTTTTACGGCGGCTCAGTTTTGTCTTAAGAATAAACATAATTGATAAGTTTCTTTCCCCTGCATTTCTCGATCGCACTTGTAAATAGCACATTGGTCTCAAGACATTGGTTACAACACTTGCCGTCAGTACTCAAAATTGGAAAAATATTAAATAAGAAGGTATAGAAAATTAAATTAATGCACACACACTATTATCAACCACAGACATGATGTTTTTCTCAATTTGCCTAAATCGTTATTCCGCAATACAACGAGGGTGAAAACCCACCACTTTGAACACAGTCACAGGCACCGTGAACTTGTAAGTTTCCCAAATGAGTAACTATCCATTACTTTTCTAGTGTAAAGTTTTATTTAATACACATTTGATTTGAATTGGCATATCAGAGAGATATATAAACATATATCATAGGCTGATCCGGGGGGGGGGCTTTCTTGGGAAAAATTTGGTTGATTATATAGGGATCACTGAAGCATGACTGGAGCCGGCCATCCCTTATATTGTATATTCATAAAATAAACCAACAAATTATCCAAAAGATGAATAATACTTAATACTTACGACTAAGATTGATTATAAGTATTCTTGAGTCGGTTTTACAAAAAAAAAAACTTACAATTTATCGTAAGTTACATACTGTATTGAGGGTGGTAAAGGGTTATTTTCGTGCATCGTGATCGCCGTTTTTTATTTCACGTGCAACATGTTTTTACTATTTTTTTTTTATGTTCAGTCGTGCAAGACAGGTGCCTTGTTCAACGTGTTCTGCTTATTTAATTTTACGTGCATCGTGATTTTCAAATGCTTATTTTGCGTGCTCGGTATTTTTCAAATAAAATTCAAACACTTGGCAGGGATCGTCAAGAAATACTTTTTTAAAAGCCGTAAACCATTTATATCATAAATGTGTATACTAAATCGGGAATAACAAGTAAAACAGAGAGTTTATATATACAAGAAGACAGTGATTCAGTCACAAAAGGTTCACATCAAAGTCTTTATTTTTCGTGCAACGTTCATGACAGAAATTATTTCACGTTCAACGTGAAATTATGTCTTATTTCACGTTTTTTTCCGTGCAAGCACCCCCCTTTACCACCCTCTGTATTGTACATGACTTAATTACTATCAATATTATTTGTAAGTTTTTTTGTGAAACTGACTGCTGAATTGTTTTTCCATGCTTATGGTACATCTAAGTCGTATGCTTTTTTTAAAACCACCTCCATGGTATAATGTCTGCTCGCCCATATAATCTGTTTGTAGATATAGGAAGATGTGGTATGAGTGCCAATGAGACAACTCTCCATCCAAGTCACACAATTTATAAAAGTAAACCATTATAGGTCAAGGTATGGTCTTCAACACAGAGCCTAGTTTTTATCAAAAATGAAATATATTGATATTAATAGTATACAGGTTAAATAATTTATTCATACATTTTTAATTGACTGACTAGAATTATCATGATTATTGAGGAATTTAAACCATTCCTATTTTTAAAAAGGGACAAAAATAAAATTTATATATAATAACAGGGTGATACAAATGAGAAAAACTCAAGAAATTGTTTTCAATTAAGATAAATACATGGTTTTCAGTTGTTTTTTAAAGCAGAGGCAGATTTAGTTTAAAGTTGGAAAAAATTGTTTGTACCAACAAAAATTAATACACAAAGTTAATCCAGAATTATGTGTTTATCATTTTTTTTAATGTTTAGGTTGCCAGCAAGATGAAAAGAACAATGCAGTTCAAAAGTCAAAATGTGGATAAGATGCGGTACAAGGTCCTACTTTTGCAGATTTTCATATTTTGCATGAATGAATTTGAAGTTTATATCATGGAGGGCAGAGAAAGAAAAGAAACACTTCAGTTTTCCTGCTTCTGAAGGATAAATGTAAAACATCTTGTTTGGTAAGTTTTATGCTCTGTTATGATAGTGTTTGTGCATCCATCTGTCTTTCTCTAAATTGTATTCACTTAAAGTTTTTAGCTCACCTGGCCCAAAGGGCCAAGTGAGCTTTTCTCATCACTTGGCGTCCGTCGTCCGTCGTCGTCGTCTGTCTTCGTTTACTTTTACAAAAATCTTCTCCTCTGAAACTACTGGGCCAAATTTGACCAAACTTGGCCACAATCATTTTTAGGGTATCTAGTTTAAAAAATGTGTCTGGTGACCCGGCCAACCAACCAAGATGGCCACCATGGCTAAAAATAGAACATAGGGGTAAAATATAGATTTTGGCTTATATCTCTGAAACCAAAGCATTTAGGGTAAATCTGAAATGGAGTAAAATTGTTTATCAGGTCAAGATCTATCTGCCCTGAAATTTTCAGATGAATCAGACAATCCGTCGTTGGGTTGCTGCCCCTGAATTGGTAATTTTAAGGAAATTTTGCCGTTTTTGGTTATTATCTTGAATATTATTAAAGATAGAGATAAACTGTAAACAGCAATAATGTTCAGCAAAGTAAGATCTACAAATAAGTCAACTTGACCAAAATGGTCAGTTGACCCCTTAAGGAGTTATTGCTCTTTATAGTCAATTTTTAACCATTTTTCGTAAATTTTTGTAATCTTTTACAAAAATCTTCTCCTCTGAAACTTCTAAGACAAATTTAACCAAACTTGTCCACAATCATCATTAGGGTATTTAGTTTAAAAAATGTGTCCGATGACCCCGCCCGCGAACCAAGATGGCTGACATGGCTAAAAAAATAGTACATAGGCCGGCCTAGAGTAAAATGCAGTTTTTGGCTCATATCTCTGAAACCAAAGCATTTAGAGCAAATCTGATGAGGATAAAATTGTTCATTAGGTCAAGATCTATCTGCCCTGAAATTTTCAGACCAATCAGGCAACACGTTGATGGGTTGCTGCCCCTGAATCGGTAATTTTAAGAAAATTTTGCAGCTTTTGGTTATTATCTTGAATATTATTATAGATAGAGATAAACTGTAAAACAGCAATAATGTACAGCAAAGTTAGATCTACAAATAAGTCAACATGACCAAAATTGTCAATTGACCCCTTAAGGAGTTATTGCCCTTTATAGTCAATTTTTTACATTTTCATAAATTTTGTAAATTTTTGTAAATTTTTACAAAATATTTTCCACTGTAACTAGCGGGCCAAGTTCATTAAAGATAGAGAAAATAGTAAGGAGCAAGAATGCTCAGTAAAGTAAGATCTACAAACACATCATCACCAAAACACAATTTTGTCATGAATCCATCTGTGTCCTTTGTTTAATATGCACATAAACCAAGGTGAGCGACACAGGCTCTTTAGAGCCTCCAGTTGGTTACAGTTCACCATGAACTTCAGTTAGTAACTTGTGGTTTTACATGTATATACTCAAAATCTAGTACTTTAAAATGTTCATGTATTTTTGTCGAGCCTGCAACTTTTGTCGCAGAAAGCTCAACATAGGGATAGTGATCCGGTGGCGGCTAATGCAGTAGGGTTAGCACCAGGGGGGGGGGGGGGCTCTTCCTATATTAAGGTATATACATATGTGCCGCTGGAAGGGTCCCTTTTTTGATGCATCAAATATATCAATGGGGTGCAATTTTACCGAGGAAATATATCAATGGGTCATAATTTTTCAGTTTGTTGTGCAACGATCTTCACTTAATGGGTTATGATTTCGCTGTGAAATATATGTATAGGTAGGGATTTCACAATTATTCAATATATGAATGGGGGGTGTTTTTTAAATTCCAGCTGCACAACTGTACCCAAAATCTAATGTTGAGACCCCCCCGTGGGCGTTAGCTAACTTCCAAAAAGCTTTATATTTTAGAAGGTGGAAGACCTGGATGCTTCATACTTTGTATATAGATGCCTCATGATACGAATTCCGACTGAAACATGTCCATTGTCCTTGACCTCATTTTCATGGTTCAGTGACTACTTGAAAAAAAAGTTCAGATTTTTTGTAATGTTAGTTTCTCTCATATTATGAGTAATAGGATAACTATATTTGGTATGTGCGTACCTTGCAAGGTCCTCATGCTCGTCAGAGAGTTTTCACTTGACCTAGACCTCATTTCATAGATCAGTGAACAAGAACTTAGTCTTAGATGCATGATTTTTTTTATTAGTTGTTAGTGGCTTTGTACTAGCTGTCAGTAACTGCGAGTACTCTCAGATCTGTACTTAGTGTCTTTTTGTTGTTCGGATGTACAAGTACCCGGCCACGTCCACTTGTATTTGTAGTATTTGTATTTGTAGTATTTGTATTTTTATCCATCTGATGAGTTAAGCCTCTTTCAACTGATTTTTTATACGACCACATAAAATAAAAATTTTGCGGTCATATATTGGTATGACGTTGGCATCGTCGTCGTCCGAAGACACATTGGTTTTCGCACTACAACTTTAGTTTAAGTGAATGGATCTCTATGAAATTTTACCATAAGGTTCAATACCACAAAAGAAAGGTTGGGATTGATTTTGGGGGTTATGGTACCAACAGTTAAGGAATTAGGGGCCAAAAATAAGCATTTTTGTAACTTCCAGACATAACTTGTGTGTTAGTGTATGGATCTCTCTGACATTGTACCACAAGGTTCCATATCACGAAGGGAATGCTGGGATTGATTTTGGGGGGTAATTGCCTCAAAATTTTAGGAATTAGGGGCCAAAAAAGGGGCAAAAAACAAGCATTTTTCTAGTTTCATGACAATAACTTAAGTGTAAGTGTATGGATCTTTCTGAAATTGTACTACAAGGTTCCATATCACAAAGAGAAAGCTGGAATTGAGGTTGCAATACGTTTAGGAAAAAGGGGCCAAAAAGAAGCATTTTTCTAGTTTCCAGACAATAACTTGTGTTCAAGTGTATGGATCTCTCTGAAATTGTACTGCAAGGTACCATAACACTAAGGGAAGGCTGGGATTGATTTTGGGGGTAATTGCCTCAAAATTTTAGGAATTAGGGGCAAAAAAGGGGAAAAAAACAAGCATTTTTCTAGTTTCAGGACAATAACTTGTGTGTAAGTGTATGGATTTTTATGAAATTGTACGACAAGGTTCCATATCACGAAGGGAAAGCTGGGTTTGAGTTTGGGGGTAATTGCCTTAACGTTTAGGAATTTGGGGCCAAAAAGGGACCAAAAAAACAAGCATTTTTCTAGTTTCCAGACAATAACTTGTGTTCAAGTGTATGAATCTCTCTGAAATTGTACTGCAAGGTACCATACCACAAAGGGAAGGCTGTTATTGAGTTTTGGGGTGATGAATCATAAGGGGGTTCAAAAAATTGGGGGGGGGGGATTTTTTTTCCTTTTTTTTTTCTTTAAAATTTTCCATTTTAAATTGGTTATTTCTGATTTATATATAAAAGCAAATAATAATGATATGGTTTGAATAGGTAAATTAAAATTTTTTAAGTTCTTAGACCACATTCATTCTGTGTCAAATATTTAATCACAATCCAAATTCAGAGCTGTATCAAGCTTGAATGTTGTGTCCATACTTGCCCCAACTGTTCAGGGTTCGACCTCTGCGGTCGTATCAAGCTGCGCCCCAGCGGAGCATTTTATTATTGTTCGTTCTTATGTTGTACTGTTACACCACTGTCCCAGGTTAGGGGGAGGGTTTGGATCCCGCTAACATGTTTAACCCCACCACATTCTGTATGTATGTGCCTGTCCCAAGTCAGGAGCCTGTAAATCAGTGGTTGTCGTTTGTTTATGTGTTGCATATTTGTTTTTCGTTCATTTTTTGTACATAAATAAACCGTTAGTTTTTCGTTTGAATTGTTTTACATTGTCATTTCGGGGCCTTTTATAGCTGACTGTGCGGTATGGGCTTTGCTCATTGTTGAAGGCCATACGGTGACCTATAGTTGTTAATTTCTGTGTCATTTGGTCTCTTGTGGAGAGTTGTTGTCTCATTGGCAATCATACCACATCTTCTTTTTTATATTTAAGGTTAAGTTTTGGTGGTCAAGTCCATATCTCAGATACTATAAGCAATAGGTCTAGTATATTCGGTGTATGGAAGGACTGTAAGGTGTACATGACCAACTGGCAGTGTCATCTGACCTTGACCTCATTTTCATGGTTCAGTGGTTATAGTTAAGTTTTTGTGTTTTGGTCTCTTTTTCTAATACTAAATGCAATAGGTCAACTATATTTGGTGTATGGAAACATTTTATGATGTACATGTCAGTCCTGCAGGTTTAATTTGAACCTGACCTTATTTTCACGGTTCATTGCTCAGTGTTAAGTTTTTGTGTTTTGGTCTGTTTTTCTTAATCTATAAGCAATAGGTCAACTATATGTGTTGTATGGAAGGATTGTAAGCTGTACATGTCTGCCTGGCATAGTTCATCTGATCTTCACCTCATTTCCATGGTTCATTGGTCAATGTTTAGTTTTCTTGGTTAAGTCTGCTTCTTAGAAACTATAAGCAATACCGGTAGTTCAACTGTATTTAGTAATTTGAATGATTGTAAGGTGTACATATATTTCTTGTCAGGATTATATGACCTTGAATTCATTTTCTTGGATCATGTTGAGTTTATGTGATAGTTGTAGTAAAGCTTTATATTTAGGACTATCAACATGATATCAATGATTAGTAAAGAAGGCGCAACATTTCAGCATGTGCACTCTTGTGTATACATTAAACACCACATTTACTGTTTTTACCCTGATTTTATGCATCACTGAACATAGAAATGTCATAATGTGAAATTATAGTACATTCTTAGGTTAAAGTTTTAGGTTAAGGTACATAGCTTACCATGAAGTTGAATTTCATACACATGTTCATTATGTGGTGAATTTTTAATTTCAGTGCCAAACTAAGATTTTGAGCCTGATTACATGATTGACTAGACATTGACACATGCTAGAGTTTGCCAGGCATTGTGTCCTGTACTAGGAATTTGTCCTGTACTAAGAACTTTAATAGTACTCGTTGAGTATGGAGTTTTTGTGAAAGTTTAATATTAGTGAGATTTTTGCATGACATCCTGTCAAAACAAGGAATTATTTGAATCTGGAATAATTATGACTTCTGGAAAATTGATTAGAAATGTATGATGAAAACTAACCCAACTAAATAGGGTTAGCCATGCGCACATGGCTAAGGTTAATTTTAATTTCACTATCATTTCAGTATGAACTAACTAACCCCCCTTAGCCATGCGTGCATGGCTAACTCTATTTAGTTGGGTTAGTTTTCATCATAAATTACTCATCAATTTTCCAGAATTCAAAATTATTCCAAATCCAAATAATTCCTTGTTTCAACTGCTTGTTGATCATGTTTATACATGTCTTAAAATTAATATCTGACACATTGGTGTTTTGTGAACTTGGAAATAAGTTATTTGATAGAATAATAATGTTTTGAGATTATCAAAATAAAAAATATCCCATTTTTACTACATTGTGTATTAATGATTAAGTATATAAAAAAGAAGATTTAGGATATATGTATAACCCTATATAAAAATGAGACAGCAACCGAACAACACAAAAATAAGAAAAAAAAAACAATATAATTTTTTGTATCAATGTTATTATTTCCAACGTGTCCAAAGAGTTCAATGTATTTTCTAATTGAAATAAAACACAAGTGGAACTCTTTCAGAACTTCAGAAGCTTAAAGAAGTGCTGTTTCTATTGTTGGCTTTCTGTATAATATATTGCAAATTCTTGTGAAAAATGGAATTTTATTGTAATTGCCTAAAGTTTTAACATTGATCTATATATATATAACTGGGGAAAATACCCAAATGTTATAAAGAAGAATACATAAATTGATTGTTATATAATAATAATTTAATTTTGGATGTAACGCGTCTTCTAATTGGCTGACGTTGTTTTGTTTATCAGCTCATAGACATAATTTTGTCATGTGACCGTGACGTCATCAACGTTTTTTCATGGTTTACTCGGGCGGTTTAAAATGGAATTTAGAATTAAATTATAAGAAATGACTGTAATATTTTTTCTGTCTATTCGAAAAAAAATAAAAAATGTGGTGCACACTTTAGAATAACTCGCTACGAGGGTTATTCAGTGTGCACCACATTTTTGATGTTATTTCTTCATAGACAGAAAAAATATTACAGTCATTCCTTAATTAGAATAGGAAGATGTGGTATATTGCTATTTGACAACTTTCCATCAGAGACCAAAGGATGTAGGAGGTTAGCAACTGATGACACTGGACAACCTTCAACAATCAGTAAAATCCATACCGCATAGCCATTTTTATTGAAAATCATATGTTCTTGCTACATGTATGCAAACAATTTTTTATTATCCATAACTTCGGATTTTATTGGTTCTTTTTCAGAAGGATTGAAATTCATCACTGAGAATAAAAGGAGAAAACACAGAAACAAGACCAAAATAAATTCAAAGACAAAAGTCAGATCAGTTATTATTTTCATCACTCAGCCAATGAATTGAAGTTCTATTAAATATCTAAAGATATTAAAACCACAATAATGACAATGTTCTGTGCTGAATGGCAAAAAGTGGACTATACATTACAATCACACAATGCTGGATGATAAGAAACTATTAATTTTTTGGGTGGAGGGATATCCTGAAAAAAAAATAGATTTATGTAAAAAGCTACTAGTATGTTAAGCCTATTAATAGAGTTTTCATTGATTTCAAATGGGAAAAAATTGTGTTTCAAAAAAGTATTCTAGAATTCATAAATAAACATATATTGATACTTACATTATCTGCTTTGTTGTTTAAAAGTTTAGTTTTGAACAGTTATAGAACAATATAATTGCATTAACATTTCCAAGGAAAAAAAAGATATTCAACTAAAAAGATTCATCTTAAAACAATTTACTACCAAACAGAATTCATTGTAACATACACATTTATTTACTGTATATTTATAATTTGAATCATAGGATTTTATTTTGTCCCATGGGATATTAAAAATCCCATGGGATAATTATAGTCCCATGGGATTTTTTTTGTCCCATGGGACTACAATTATCCCATGGGACCCAAAAAAATCCTATGGGATTTAACCAAAATCCCATGGGATAATGGTCAATCCCATGGGATTTGCCCTATCCCATGGGATATTGAAAATCCCATGTTTTTCTAAATCAAATTACAAAATAGATATAATAATAACATCAGAAAAGCAATGAATTTATTGAATCCCATGTAATTCCGCACATTTTGGTTATATACACGATACTGTAGCTCTAAGGAGAGGCGGCGGCGGATTTGCAAATGAGTGTTTTGCAAATTAAAAGTGTCCAGTGTTCATAACTTATTTTGTATTCTTTTCAAACGGGATGTATAAAGACACACCTACGTTCATTTTGATTTATAAAGAGGTTAACTCCTAACTATCCTACTGCCTGTCGATACATTTATTTTTGGCATTGCACAAGTCATGTCTTCTTTGACTGTCCATGACGTTAAAATACTAAATCCCTGGGATGTGTTTTAGTTGATTTTAGTCTCTGATGCATGATTTTTTATTATTTTAAAATTGTTTTTGGCAAAGTTTTAACTAGCTGTCAGTAACTGCGAGTACTCTCAAATCGTACTTTTTTTGTTTATTTAACCTGTTGATACTAATTGTAATGTTTTTTTTGTTATTTAATGTTTACTCATTCAGGGTTTTATCTGGTCTATATACTAGCTTTGATAAGAGTTTGGTATTACTATAAATTTTCACTTCTTCTTAATATGAACATCAAAATTATTTTGTAAAAATATTTCCTTTCTCCATTTGAACTGTACACGTATACCTAACAACAAAATTATTTTCATTTACCTGTGTTTAAAGTAATTGCAAATGGCTGATATTTTTGTTCACGCATATTATTTTTCTTAAATTGTTTAACATTTCACAGCGGTATAACATGTTACTTTTATTATTCTTCCCTTAGTTAATTTATTTTGTATTTACATTGTATCATAGATCAAATTTATTTGTTCAGTGTATGTTCACTGGTGTTAATATGTCTTTTGATTGAGTTAAGCCATTTCAATTGATATTTTAGTGTGTGTCTTTCCATTTTGTGATGTTACACTATTGTTTCAGATAAGGGTGAAGGTTTGGTCCCATTTAAACGTTTAACCCCGCTGCTATTGTTTGCACCTGTCCTACGTCAGGAATCTGATGTTCAGTAGTTGTCGTTTGTTGATGTGGTTCATATATAAGTGTTTCTCGTTTTTTATGTAGATTAGACCGTTGGTTTTCCCTTTTGCATGGTTTTACACTAGTAATTTTTTGGGCCCTTTATAGCTTGCTGTTCGGTGTGATCCAAGGCTCCGTGTTGAAGACCGTACTTTGACCTATATTGGTTTACTTTTATAAATTTTGACTTGGATGGAGAGTTGTCTCATTGGCACTCATACCACATCTTCTTATATCTACAATTACAATTTATAAATCTAAAAATATGTAAGTACAATTACAATTCATAAACCTAGAAATTATGTAAGTACAAGTACAATTTATAAATCTAGAAATTATGTAAGTACAATTACAATTTATAAATCTAGAAATTATGTAAGTACAATTACATTTTATAAACCTAGAAATTATGTAAGTACAATTACATTTTATAAACCTAGAAATTATGTAAGTACAATTACAATTTATAAATCTAGAAAATATGTAAGTACAATTACAATTTATAAATCTAGAAAATATGTAAGTACAATTACAATTTATAAACCTAGAAATTATGTAAGTACAATAACATTTTATAAACCTAGAAATTATGTAAGTACAATTACAATTTATAAACCTAGAAATCTTGTAAGTACTGAAGAACTGGCTACTAGACGGATGGTATCGTGTATCCAATAATGTGAACTGATGGCCTAATAAAAGCGATATTGACCAAGTTGAACATAAAAAAAGTAAAATGTAAAAAAGGATAAAAAAAAAATATGTGCACGCATGACACACGTTTCGTCTACAAAAGACTCATCGATGACGCTCGAATAAAAAAGTTTAATTTAGTTTAAACATATTTTATCTGCAAAAGTAGCAAAAGGGACTGGAAACAAGTTAATACAAAATTAGTGAGGTCCTCTCCCTTAAAATCAAGTAAGAAGTTGAAGAGCATTGAGGACCCAAACATTTCGAAGTTCGAAATACAGCTTACTAAAGATAATCTGTTCTTAAGGCAGAAAATCCATATTTAATCGAATATGTTTGATAAACAGTTAATTCATAATTATGACCATATCAATGATATTTCATGTCAACACAGAAGTGCTGACTACTTTGATTCGAAATTGTGTTTTATTTTCAATTTTTAATTTCTGAGTGATATCAATGAGCCTCCTAATGGGGTTTTTGATTATGTGATTACTTGGCCGTTTTTATAGTTATTATTTAATTACCAGACCAAATATTTCATGATTATTTGATTATTTTATAATCTAGGACTGTATTTTTGATTATTTGATTATCTTGTTTAAAAAAAAAATTAATGATTAAGTGATTATATTGGCAAAAAATTGGTGATTATGTGAGTACTTGGACACCCCCATGAGGGGCCTCATCAATTGGATTTATTTCAATGGAGCTATACATTCATTAGTACCTGCAAACGTAACGCAAAGTGTTTCTTTGAATTTGACCCAGTGTTTATTGTATTTGATGCATTTCATAAACTCTCCTTCAGTTAATAAAAAAATAATTCAAAGCAAATGCAAGTTTGAAAATAGTTTAGCGTTCTTTCTATAATTCAATAGAACATTTACTTTTAGAAAGATCCAGTTTGCTATGGAACAAATCTCGGAATGAAAACGAGATAGCAGGTAATGGCATTTTAATCTAAGAGAGGGGTTACGAATTAATGAAAATTATGTCATATCCGTGTAGAAACAGCACCTTTGAATGACATTATCACATAAATAATGAAATTAGAATTAATTTCCATGACAAATTTCTACACAGATCGAGTCTGGATTAATGTATTTAATGTATGACAACTGCGTAGCCATTATACTTGCTTATATTTTGATAAGAACAGTTCACCTGTGGACATAACTTAAGTCCAATAACAACAGGTTAAACTCAAAACAAACATTGAAATATCGAGTAGAAATGGATAAAAATGTAAGCTTTAATATAATTAAGTAAGAAATATTACTCAAACAAAAAAATTGAAATGAATAACAAAACAAACTACAGAAGACTGAAAGTGAACCTTCTTCTAAAGGGGTGTTTTAACACGTTCTGCCTCCAAATAAAAATTAAGGGTATTTGTCAAGCGAGACTTCAGATACGCATGGAGATGCCGAGGTTAATCTCTGCAGTTCTCTATTATTATTATGCAGTTCTAGGGTACTATCAAACACTGAAACAATAGACCGTTTTGTCGTTGCATTGATAGGAATACCAGAGCTTAAGGAAAACTCTTTCACTTGCTTTTAGATAGTCAGATCTCACGTATTGTGCAGCCTCTAAAAACGGACGACATTCGGCAATACAGTAGACGTCAAAGTCTAGCAATAACTGGTATACCTGAAACTGAAAAAGATAACACCGACTACCTTATATGGGAATTCCTGCACAAGTAGCTCAAAATTGATATTGATGCAGTTGAAATTAATCGATCTTACCGATCAGGTGAGAAAAAATCTAATGTCAATAGAACTATAGCAGTGTGTTTGTAAACAATCGCCTTAAAGAATATATCTATTCAAGCAAAAACACCTCAGGTTGGGATTCTATATAAATGAGTCACTTTCCAAAGCGAGAACAAACTCATTTTATAAATAACATGTGGGACCGGACTTGTATTCATTTATGTACATTATCAGGTAGTGTTCCCCAACTGTGTACGGTCTCAATGTCAAGTAGTCGGTAATGGGAAGCTGAGCCTGGAAGGGAAATTCTCCCTCTCTCTCTCTGTGGATTTCATCAAGTAACATTTTGTCTTTTTTGTAAACGAATCACTGTACTAAAAGTCCTGAAATTTGAAAGCAAATGATCATGATGATGATACCAGAAATTTCGTGATAATAATGCGTATATATTTTCATTTCAGTTTTCAACAAGTCTAGTTATTAACAATTCCCAAAACATATAATAAGGACGCAGATATGTATTTAAAGCATTGTACTATTTTCTACGAACGCTGCTTGACTTGGTAACAGATTGCATTAATTTTTGTTATTGTCATTTATGATTGGATTTTAAGGAAAATGGGATTGGAATACATATAGTATATTTACTTATTTACTTTTTTCATTTTTTTCATTTAATGGACTGCATAAATATGAACAAAATGATGTCGCAATCCTTGACCTCTGATTATGGATTTTTACTCAAGGTTTTCTTTCGTTGATCTTTTGTTATCGGTCGTTGACTAAATTTTATTTTTTCAGGAGAAACCCAAATACAAATCCTTTGCACAGCAGTTTCCAATTAATATTTTAATAATCAGGGAAAATGTGAAATTAAATAAAAAATCTTTTAAAAGCGGTATTAAAAACAGAAAACTTGTTTTTTCCTCGACGAAAGTAGTTTATATTGTAAGGGACCCGGGGTCCGTTTTACCTTTAGTTTATCTTACTTTACAATCTTAATTGTAGTCGCAGCAAAAGCCAATGTTAATCACATTCACTGTAATGTAATAATGAAGGAAGTAAATTCTGTTCGGGAAAGCAAAACATGAGATCGGGCAAAGCGACTCGATACAAAAATGGTGGAAACAAGTTGTAATCGGGCTTTTT